CGGGTTCGTGGAGGTGGGTCATCATGGCCATGTCCTCGATTTTGTCGTACTTGGGAGGGTTCATGGAGAAGATTTGATCTTCCTTCACAGTCAGGGTCTGTCAGAGGGCAGGAAGGGACATGAATGGATGTCAGTTAAGAATCCACAGTAGGAAGGAAATGCTGTTTGTAAATCTTGCATTTTACTCACCTCTCCCCCTTCAGTCTTGACAGTGACCTTGCCTGCATCCTTACTCTCAATTTTCCCTTTCACATAGGATTCCTTTGCATGTACCACAAAGACGGATGTCTTGGCATCAAAAGGCTTGTTCTGGGCCTCGATTCTCTCCTTCTCCGATTTTCGGAGGTAAGGAGCCGCCTCGCCGAAGGCGGCCATGTCCGCGTCTGGAGTCGACATCGCTGCCCTGTGACAGGAGGCACCGTCGGCAGGGTCCTTGTAGGAAAGGAGATATATTGTATCAGGGAGTGAACAGCTTTATGTGGAAGAGAGGAGATCTCGCACTTTGATCTCTTCAAATACTGATGTAGGTACAAACAAGTAAGAAGTTGTATTTAAACTTCCCAGTCTTGGCTGAAAGCACTTCTGTACTTCTCCAAAATTAATCCTTAGGCACCTACCTAAGCAACAAAATCCAAAAGAGCAGTTTGGTGTGCAGCATGCTGTGAAATTCAGCAGCATTCTCCCAACTTTGCAAACTCTAGCATATTTGTATGTTTCCATAACAGACATTTGATTTTAAATGTCTCGGGGTTTGTTTGGGTTTTTTTTAATGCTACTGAAAGTGTCTGAAATACTTCCTTGTCTGATAGCAAAGAGCGGTTTTCTAAAATTTACTTGCTATGGACAATTCATCTTGCATTATCACAGATACAAATGCCACTAGTGCCTGTTCTCCTTTCCAGAAATTTTAAACTCTTGGATTTCATCCTGTTCCTTAAAAGTTGTTAAATTTGGTATTAATTCTGGTCACTGCTGTTTGAAAACATAACAACTCTTTTTGTGTTGCAGAGATACCCAGAGGTAATATAGAAGTTGAAGGAAAACTTGCTGCCTTCAAACCTACAATAAAAATTACTGGTGATAGAGACAGACCATGATAGAAATGGATATCCAACTCTTAGAGGAAGGTAAACGGAATAAAAAGGTATGTTTTGCCCAGAAGTTCACACGAGCCATACACTTACCTCAAAATTTTCTGTCAAGACTGGGCACAGCACTCCAAAGAGTCTTTTATAGACTCTGGCATGCAAATGCTTTGGATGCTTCCTTTTCCTTCTGTCAAAATATATTTTGGCAAACCATCTTTGGCAAAATATTGTCTGGCAAACTTAACTAATGGCATAATTGTCATTTGATTTGACCTGATATATTTAGAAATGTTTTGCATCTTACCATTCCTGTGGATACATTTCCTATAAATAGTCTGACAGGGCTATTAATATTGGGGTCTGGACTAGTCAAGGCACTTAAAGAACTTGGATGTAGGATTTATTGCTTCTTCTACTGTCTCTACAGGTAACTTAATCCTTGATTCAGATGAGATTCTTTGGCATTTCTGTACTATTACTATTCCAGATGTAAAAGCGAAATAATACAATATATCTTGTACACATGGTCCTGTGAATTTAGGGTTGCCTTTACAAGATTAGAAAGAGAAGTTCTACAAAAGACAAATCATGATTTAATTTCCTTCAGTAATAAGTGATATATGTAATCAGTGTCAGTCATAAGTGATACAAGAGAAAAATCTTTCTAGTTTCAAATAACTTGTTCATACTGTCTCATACATGCAAAACATAAAATTCTATTGCTTTTTTGCAAGTAATTTTGGATTGTGAAAAGCTGATGCTTCATTACAGAGCTGATACAGAAGAAATGTGTAATGTTTGATGACTAGCACTTTTATTAACAGGGAAATGAATCATAGGAAAAATTATTTCTGTTTCTCAAACTTTAATAAAGAAACTCTAAGGGTTAAGACAGACAAACAGGCAAAAGTAACCTAGACCAGGAAATACATTTGAGATGTATACTCAATAAATATACCGTGATAATTCCTATTTCCTCTCACACAAACATGAAGTACTAACATGCCTTAAAGGGCATAAACCTTTAATGAGCCAATATTCATGTGCCCATTTTCAACATATACCAAGCAATGCCCTCAACCAAGCTAGCCCTTCACTACCTACAACTCCAGAAATACCCAACCCTTGCAGCCAAAGAAAACTACCCACAATCACTCAGCACACAATCTGAGATCCTCTGCACTCTGATCCATCCTCAGTCCAGCACTCCCACCCCATCACAAAGATCTTGCCCTCTTCCACATTCACACAGTTCCAGCAACAAGAGCTCTCAACACCATGCTGCCTGTACTGTAGCAGGAGAGCTACAGGCAGGTCCTGTACAATGCTGTACTCTGAGAAAGGGGGAATTTGCCAGTAGTTCCAGAGAGTGACTGGTCAGGTTCTAGGAAAAAGGGCACTGTCACTTGAGCTGCTTTAAACAGTGTCAGTTCTAAACACTCTCTTCCTCTCGTCATTGGCATTTTCATTGCTAAAAGAGCTCAGAGGATAAAGATCAGTGAAGAGCACAGGGGCAAGGTCAGAAAAAATGGTGCCTGTGATCCAAGGAGATCCAGCACCAAGCAGTGGCCTGGGCATGAACAGCTTGTTCCAAGGAGAAGCACACACTTCCTTGAAGTTCAAAACCAGAGCCCCCTGTGGGCTCCCTGGGCAGTGGTGGGGGGAGGCTGAGGGAAACACCCTTTGTCCTGCCCAGGAGGAGCCCAGAAACAACCTGTGTAAAACAGTGAGTGCAGGGGCACAGCAGAAGCCCTGTCCCTCTGGGCAATGGACTGACTGTCTCTCAAACTCCCTTGGACATACAGACCTTAGAGGACAGCACCACTGAATGGTTTGGGTTGGAAGGGACCTTAAAAGAATAATCAATCTAGTGCAAGACTGCTGCTGGGCAGGGGAATGTCTGACTGGGTGAGGTTGCTCAAAGCTCCATGCAGCTTGAGCTTGCACACTTCCAGTGATGGGGCATTCCTGTAATCTGGGGCCAGTCTGTTCCAGTGTCTCACTGGCCTTGTCTTAACAAATGTCACTCCTATAGCTAACCAGAATTCTCCCCTTTTCAATGCAAAACCTTCTCCCCTTGTATTTCCGCAGGCCTTGGAAAAAGTCTTCCCCCATCTTATAGGCTGACTTTGCATATTGAAAGCTGCTATATGGTCTCTTCAGAGCCTTCTCGTCTCCAGGCTGAGCAGGCCCAACTCACTAAGCCTTTCTTCACAGGAGAGGCATTCCAGGCCTCAGATCTTTTTCCTGGCTCTGCTCTGCATCTGCTCAACCTGGTCCGTATCCTTCTTTTGCCGGGGATCCCAGAGCTGGATACAACACTATGGGTGGAATCTCAACTCTTTAAGCCTGTCAAGGTCCCTCTGGATAACATCCCACTGTTTACCAACTCAATCACTCAGGTTGGTGTTGTCTGGAAACTTTCTGAGGGTTCACTCAGTCTTAAAACACATAGAACCATAAAACAGAATCACAGAATGTTTTTTTAGGTAGGAAGGAAGCCAGGAGATCTGTAGAGGATAACCTAGAAATCTGCAGATGGAAGGTTCCAGAAAGAAAGGTGCAAAGGCTGCTGAACTGCTCAGGGTGCAGAAGAGCTGTAGCACACGACACATTGTTCCACCTAACCCTGCACGTACCTGGAAGGTGTGGAGGAGGTTGTCCTTTGGCAGAATGTTTCTTTGGTCAAAGCTAGCAGCAGATACAACTCCACAGCACGAATGTATGGGCTGTCTACACTGTGAAGAAACTGCAGTTGCAGTGCAGCTCTATCTGGCATTTCTGTGCTGAGCATGGAAGTTGGTCTCTGCATGCTCAGAGCTCTACACTGATACCTCAGTCCACTGGTTCATGCAGTGGAAATCAGCATAAAGCAGTTACAGCTGTGTGGGCTGTGCTTGGTGTGGTGGAACAAAACGATCCTTGAAAGATGACTGGAACTAATCAAGTAATAATTGGGAAGATTATTGAAAGCAAGCAAAGATGACATTGAAATAGTAGTTCCCGTGGGATTTGCAGGATGCTGCTGTTGCTGTCAGACATGCTGACGGGATTAGCAGAGCATACCTGTAGGGACAGTACATCAGTGAACCAGCAGTGGATCACCTGACATGGAAAATCTAGCTCCAGACTACTGTGTAGTAAGGTGGACTTGACAGAGAGCACTGGATGCTGGATTAGCAACTGTAACAGAGCTGGGATGTAGTGTGTCACCAAAGCATCAACAATTCCTTCCCTCCCTCCCTCCTTTCCTTCCTTCCTCCCTCCCTCCTTTCCTCCCTCCCTTATTTCCTACTCAGAAGGTAAATAGGATGGTGTCTCTCATGGGTGATTTTGTATGGCACTTCTTCAGTGAAAAAAATAAAGGTATACGTAAACTTCTCTCCAGTAACAGGTAGAGATGAGATTTGCCCAGCACTGAACTCAAGCATTTCCAGCATGAACAGAGACAAACATGTCTCTTGCATGGAAAATATCCATTGCAAGAAGTGCAGCTTTCCAATGATGTTGTCAGTTATGCTGCATGTATATGCATATATATGGAATACAGGATCACAGGATCACAGAATATCCTGAGTTGGAATGGACTCACAAAGCCTGCCCAGGCCCATCCCCAAGAGTCACCCCCTGTGCCCCAGAGGATCATCCAAAGCCTCCTGCAGCTCTGGCAGCCTTGGGGCTGTGCCCACTGCCCTGGGGAGCCTGTTCAGTGCCCAACCAGCCTGTGGGGGAAGAACCTTTTGCTGAGATCCACCCTGAGCCTGCCCTGACACAGCTCCAGCCAT